ATGTAAGTTATTGTTAATTTATACATTAAAAGTGCATGGTCCACTTCCCTTTAAGTATCGTACATTTTGAAAGATCTTGCGGCGGAATCTTGATTTTTTCAGATGTAACGTTCATCAAGAGTATTTATAAGGTTTATTTTCAGTGTTGCTCATACGAGCAAGGCCACCCGGAGGTTTATAAGCCAATCATCCCACAAGAAAGCATTGGATTCAAAATTCGAACAAATACAATTTAGTCAAACAGTAAACACAGCTAGCGCTGGTTGGTCCCCGGTTGAATTAACGTCACTGTTACGTACTTCTGAACTAAGGTCTTCCTCTAGCTTTCCAATTCCTGTCCCATACGAACATCTGCTTGCCCGGATAACTTGTCCAGTTAATCATTGTCCGAGCTGTGTGGGTCACATATGTTTTATTTCCAAAGAGACTCTTGCAACCAAAAATTTCACGTCGGCCGTGTTTCTGGCCTACAATATTGATGTTAATAAAGTGTAATTGTTTGTCTCACGATTCAGTCACTGAATGATGTAGCAGATCGCGACGTTTCAACTGCGTATATCAAGTGTTCATGAGAAAAAGCAACACTTAAAGACCTTGCCTTGCTAGTCTTCGTTGACTGGTCACACGTGAACTTATATGACTCCAAGATCTGGTTCTGGTTGGTCGATTATTAGCCGATGAGATTGGTGTATTTCTTACTCCACTGTTTGTATGAGCTTTTGCCTCACTGGTCCACTGTCGTACGGATCTCCTATTGCTGTGTTTCTTGATTAAGGGCAACCAAGCTTCTGGAATTTCTATTCTGCTATCCCTGTTGATGTTGTTAGAGTGTAGCCTTATGTGAATTTTCTCTTTCACTCTGTGTGTGTTACATTGAGGATCACGATCAATTACCAATAGTAAAATACCTGCTTTACATGAAGTAGAAAAATTAAAAGATGCAAGCCACAGGTTCTACAGTTTAACAGTTTTTCTGTGTCAAAAAAATTAATGGCTTTTCCTGGCTTAATAACCATTGTAGATTGACAGTGGACATATCTGGTTGTAGGTCTTCCAGACCTACTCCTTCCAGCTTCAAATCTAATTGGCTCTGAAAAGTTGTCAGCCTAAGCTTGCTCCCCTACCTCTTCGTCACCACCTGACGCAGGTGAATCATCTGATTCAACTGACCCTTGGAGCAATGCAACTAGGCGTTGCTCTTCAAGACAGCTCAAACAGAAGTTGTTTCCATCTTTTATTATTTGAACTTTCCCGATTATACACTTAGGTGAATTTCTATCGTCACGGTGCCCAGTCTGGTATACAAGGGGATCTTCTTCTGACTGTTCCAGCCATCTCAAACCCATGTGATCTTCCTGGAATACGTCACCGTTATGGTGGAGATCTTTCAAAACAACTGCAGGGAAGAAAGGAATGATATACCTCTTGTAATTGTGCTTGAGAGCAACTATGTCGCCTTTTGAATAGGTAATCTCATATTCCTCGGCTACGTCTTGAAGTTTAGTTTGTCCTTCACTCCCTCGAACCTCTTTCAGCAGATCGACTTCTCCATATGCCGACGCATTCCTTCTGAACATACTCAAAGCAAGTGGAAATGTACCAGCTCTTCCTTTGGTCTTCCCTCTCGTTCGTTGCTGTCGTACACCCCGTCCGAATTCTTTCGCAAAGCTCTGGAATGCCTTCCTTTGTCGTTCCTTTCCCTCCGCGCTCGTTTCCTCGTCCATATCCTCCTTTAGGTTTACTCTTGCCGTGCGACTTTCGAAGCCATTCTGGTGCCTTTGGACCCAGCTTTCTCTGTGTGTAATGGCCTCGAGGACCAGATAAATGAGGATTGGTAGAGCCTCTCTATTGATTCTAAAAGGCAGCTGGGCCGCCGTGATGCGTAGTCGTTCAGAGCGGGTGTTCTCTCTCCACTAAAAAATTCAGGCTCCAAATCTAAGGTGGTGATATCTTTCGGGGCCAACCGTTACAAGCCGAGGCCGAATAGCCCAAAGGGCCGAAAAAATTCTTGCAGATCAATATTGTCACTAAGATCTGTAAATTTTGTGCAAAACAAAATAGCCCCTGCACGAAAAAAATAACCCATCCCCGGCTCAAAAATCAAATAGTGGGCCCCTTACTGGTGACCCTTCTTGCTAAGTGCTATAATATATTAACTTCCTGCAGACTCTGCTACTTGTACCTAGTATGCAACATTCCTTTCACCAATTCAACCGTTTATTTTATAAAAAAAAGCTAAAGAAAATAAAATATAACGGTTTTGTGACTTTTATTTCACCGAGGTAAGTCGTTGGTGTTCCACTTTGACTTATTTTCACTAATTCTACACTGTAATTTCAGACTATTTATCATACAAGCATTCATCAGTTATACAGTAATGGAATGTGTCCCTTACTTTCCCGGCCCAATGCTAGTACTGGTAGGTGAACCGATCTCGGGTTCTCATCAGAGTTCGAGATAACCCTAAAACTCCATGCAATTAGAGCAGATTTATTAAATTACGAGAAAGCATTTATTTTGCAACAAAGCGCGCGAATTCATATAATTTTTATTGCACTTTTGTATAGAGTACCGAAGTGTGACGTCATAAAAAATGAAATTTGTGAAATTATGGGATTTGTTAAGCTATTCTGAAAGAACAACGTCCAAGACGCCTACTCGCCAAAAATTAGCAATTCGGGGCAAATTGTCTCTGAGATATTAGCCCAGTTATTCTGTGACGATTCCATACAAATCCTTCTAAATTTGGCTTGGTTCATAAGATTAGAAACCAGGTAAGATTTAGAAGGATTTGTATGGAGTCATCGGAGCATAACTGGGCTAATATCTCAGAGACAATTTGCCCCGAATTGCTAATTTTTGGCGAGTAGGCGTCTTGGACGTTGTTCTTTCAGAATAGCTTAACAAATCCCATAATTTCACAAATTTCATTTTTATGACGTCATCACTTCGGTACTCTATTCTACTTTTGACGTCTATTCTGACTAATTATTTAAGCACTTTTAAGAGTTCAGTTACTGGTCAAAAAATACGAACCTCGATTTATAGTCGCCTTGTGACTTGCTTGAGGCGATGAGACAAGCGGGACCTATACAGTAAATTCCGCTTTTAATGAATCGGTTTGTCTATTGTCCTGGCGGTATAAGTTATGTTTGATCGGCCGAAAAACTCTATGCTTGGACCCTTACCATGAGTAAATCAGTCAAGGAAGTACTTACGTACCTATCTCTGTCACAGGATTTCGCATAGGCGTACGGGCCGGGGGGGCGAGGGGGGCTGCAGCCCCCCCAAATTTTGGGCAACTCAGATTTTTTGGGCAACACGAGAAAATTTGGGCAAAGCCAGTTTTTAAAGACGTCCCCATGTTTTTATTATTATTTTGAAGAGATAAATATTTTCTATTTTAACCTGAAGTCGGCGTTATAATCCAGTGGCGGCCTAGCAGGTGACAAGTTTCTGGCTGAGCGGTTTAAAAATTATTCACTAATTTGTTACAGCAGTAGACTGAAATGTTTACAAAACCGCTAACAAGAGCGCCATGCTACATACTAATCAAATCCTTCCTTGTAGCAATTGGCCGAAGCTATCTCCATAATCTTTCACCCACGTTTTTAAAAAGATTGAAACTACTATGAAGTGAAATTGCATGTCAAAAGCGCATCGTTTTCTACAGATAACGGCCAAACATCAGGATTTTCCTTTTTTGTACCGTACTTCCAACGATAAAAAACTTTATCCCAAAATGACTCGATAACGCTCTTACAGATTCCGTTTTAACTTCACGAACATTGAGGCGTCTATGGGAGGAAAAGGCTCCTGTGATCGATTTTAGAAGAACAGTTCCCATAGAGAAATATTGCTGCAAGTATAATAGGTAATGCCTTCATTTTGTTGCTATGACAACTATGATGTCATTGCAACCCTGATCACAACAAATTTCATCTTTATCTAATACAACTGTGGTGGCAATTTTTACAAATGTTTGTTTATGGCGACGTAGTTTATGCTCAAACTTGGCAGGTATTGACCGTGAAAAACTGTATCGAGCCATTTTCATATGCCAGTACGGCCTATGTTGTTGCATCTGCCCTAATTTCTGTTCGACTGTTTTGGGCAACTTGCAAAATTTTTTTGGGCAAATAGTTTACCGCCCCCCCCGTGGCAAAAATAGCCCGTACGCCTATGGGATTTCGTTTTGTCCTTTTTCAGTCTTTCCCATTTCTCGCCAAAAAAGAGCTGTAAAATTGCTTTCTCTGCCTTCTGGCATTGACAGAGAGTTGATGAGTTGCGTTACAAAGCGAGAAAATTGACTTGAGATTCATATCACGGTGCCCTCAATAATTAATAAATTAAGAATATGATACCATGTTTTTGTCAAACAACCAGGACTTCGTATGACAGGAACTGCCGTCAGCCGAAAGCAAGAATGGGTAATGCACCTTGGCCAGGAAATTCGATGGACACAAACCTTATTATGCGGAAAAATATTGTGATAAGAGAGTTTTAGACCGTGTAATAAATCTGATCCCTGATTTGGGCTCAAAAGCCTTGTGATCCCTGATCCCATTCTTCTGAGCCCTGAGCCCTTTCCTCTGAGCCCTGATCCCAGTCATATTTTGGGCTGTGAGCCCTGAGCCCATATACCATGTTACGACCCTGGCATTTTGCCGTGACCTTCATGAAGTGTCATTGCACAAGTGTTGCAAATTGCCACTTCACAGTTCTTACAAAAGAATTTCAGCTCCTCTTTTTCATCAAGTTCCTTCTGGCAAAATGCTGGTCGCCTTAACACGGCCTCGATGTCTTGATCTTGAAAATCTTTCAGAGCGAGCGTTTTGTGATCTTTATTCGTGCGTATTATGTTATGTCCTAAAATACATTCCTCGCACCAGAAAGAACAATACTGGAAACAATATAAGGTCTGGGCGCTTCTTTTCTCACAGTTTCCGCATTTCACGTTAGCTGTACTGCGCTCTTTAATTGACAAGACATCGACCAAACTATTGATACGAAAATTGGTGGGAAGTTCGCTGGGATTTCCAGTTCCAGGGATTTGAAACTGTTTTGTGCACTCGGGGCATGTTATTTTGCCAAGGACGCCGCTCGTAATTCGTTGAATTCAAACAAGGCAACTGCTTTGGATCAGTGTATGTACACATACACACAGAACAGGATACCTCATCATGAAGATTGTCCAGCAAGGTCTTTAGATCCATGAAAAAGGTCGGGAACAAAGGTTACTAAAAGTTGGATTACTGCAAGCTTGTTGTTAACGATTTGATAAGGAGCGGCGTTTTGAAAGAACCCCACCTATTTGCTGTATGCCTTCTGACCCAGACTAAGCATAAAATATTATAATTTTATCAACCAATTAAACAGAGTCCCTTGTAGTTTTTGACATTTTGACGTAATATTCTGTTGATCCGCGCTGCAAAGCATGAACTAGTTGACTGTCGCGTTTTTATTTTTTATTACTTTACTAAGACAGATCCCTTTGCAGCGGTCAAAACTCCACACACGACATTCGTTGAAGTACAATACACCTAACGAACCGAAGCTATTCTTTCTAGATGCAGGGGCAGATCTAGAGGGAGGGTGCAGGGGGTGCGCTCCCCCTCTTCCGAGATGACCTGCGGCTTTCTAATACAACTGGTATTTGTTTACGCCACCAGTTAGTTACGCTATTCCTTAGTAGCGTACCCCCTCAGCTAAGAATTGTCCCGGACTCCTGGATCCGCCCCTGCGACGTGAAGTCTTTCCTTTCGATTTCCTTTGTTCTGTGTGTCTTGTTTTTAAAATATCACTTGTATTAAACACTGTCACTTTGTTAATAGGAGATGATACCACATATAGGCCATGCCACTTCAGTATACTGTGTCACCAGGAGTTATGGTCTCTTGGTACTGCTATGTATACCAGTGTACCATTCATGTCCGAGTGTATTTTGAATTTTTGAGAAGGGACTGGGAAGAGGGAACACACACGACGAAAAAGGAGCCGGAAAATCATTTGTAAGGTTTATTGGAGATTGTACTCATTATCTGTCTTTTCATTGGCTAAGGACTCTAGAGTTAATTTTGGAAATCAGCGCAACCTACAGGACTGATTTGCCAGTTTTCTGCAAGCAGGTAACTGACTAATCTGTAGATTGCAAGCGCATGATTTCTGAGGGCAATGTCAAACAGGATGTGTTCCGTGTGACGGTAACATTGTATAAGAAAACAATTAGACTATCCTAAGGCTTCGCGAGCCGTGCGCTCATTTTACCACCCTCCTCCATCAGGTGCTTCTTTTTCAGACGGGTATTAAAAGCTACTTTAAGCTTCACGGAAAGAAAAGAAGCCGAAAAAAACCTGGGAATCAAACAGCCCGGGCTCCTGATCGTCTGTGTTAATCCTTTGTCCTGGTCAGAGAGAGAGATAGGCAGATAGACAGACAAGCACACGGGACAGGCTAGCCTGCAAAAACAGCCGTTTCTCTTCATTCCTCGCCGCTCAGGACGTTTTGCCAGGAGGAACGTCAGCGTCTCAACGACATACATTCCATACTGATGACGTAAATCAATGTTTACATAATTAATCTGGTAGACTTGGGGTTTAAAATGCAAATTTGTTCGATTTTATGTTTCCCCTGGTCGATTTTGGTAAAGTTTTGTGTTTATTTGCGAACGAGCTCCAGCAGAACTCAAATGCTTCTTCTAGAGAAGGATATATTGTTATATTCAAATTGCTATTTATTTATTCTAATTAACAGACAGAGCATTCATCCTATATAGACACATATGTCCACAAGGAGGCTGATGACTTTACCCTTGTAGATCTGGAAGACATCATTCTATTCCTCGGACTTAACTACATATCCAAAAATAATTTTCCAGCTTTTTTTATAACAAAGCGTGACGGTACCGGTCTGTCATTTCGAAGTACAGGCCGAGGTATTTCATTATAGACTGCGATGAAGTCCTCTTCCCTTTCTTCTTTAACAAATTCACGGGAAAAGGGAAAAAAAAGAACGACGTCCTTTTCCCCTCGCCTCCAAAAAAAAAAGGGTAGAAGGACCACCTGATCGCCGGTTAATTCTCACATCAACCACGCCACTCTTGCCAAGCATTATCATTGAACGACGTCCCTTAAAGCCCGTGCCAGCAGACTCTTCGCTTTAAGATTTTGTACCGGATTTCCCTTTGGCTTTCTAACCGCGGATTAACACCCTAAGGATTAATATTTTGGTCTTTGCCGATTGTGCAAAACTGTCCAGGTTATGCCGCCTTATCTAGGTGTAATTTCGTTTAAGAAAGTACAAGGAATTTTTGTTTTTGTTTTTGCAAAATCTCTGAAATGTGTAAGGGCAATTAAGACGCTGGGGTAGAAATTTATCAGTGAGACAAACCAAGCAAATTTTCAAATGCGAATTGAAGTTTATTACAAACTTACATGTATTACATCATTACGCTTAGATTCTAACATTTATAGCATAATAGCCATTACACTACCATTAATACAAAGTATTTTTAAATAGTTCTTAGTATACATTATATGACAATGGCGGTAGTGGCTTATAATTTTCACACTAACTGGAAACAATCAGAATCTACACATTTTAAAAATCTTTTGTCATGTATTAAATTGCCAGCAGTTTCTAACTTTCAGTCAAAAGTTAAGGCGATAGAACTTATAGCACACGAGCGTCAGGCAAGAAGCGAAAACATCGGCCGAGAAGACTGATCTTACTCGATTCTCACGTCTCATGACTTGCAACTCGCCGCTAGTACCCTACTGATTCTCTGGAGAAAATTAAACGATTATTCGCACTCTATTGTTCTACATATTGGCACACATGATACAAGAAACTACAAATTAAAACAAATACACTGGTCCATTGTTTAATAAGTAGATCAAAAAATGATACACACTAAAACGCATCGGACAAACTTTGTGCTCGTTTGAAAGTATCAAGTCTACCATTTAATATTACTAGAAAAGTAAGTAAAAAGCCTGAAACTGGACAACTTCTGACTGCGCAGCTTAGTACAAAGATGTGAACCACAGGCTGGTTTAGCTATTGAACAAGTTAAAATGTATTAAAAATGAAAACCCTCCAGTAAAATATATCTACCAGTTGAACACTCTTGCAGCCCGTTTCTCGAAAGGCCTGGTAACTTTTTGGGTCCAAAAATTTTTTGAAATCTAAACCTGTTGAATTTATAGCAGCACAGTTCAGTCCGAGTTCACAAACCGGTCAATTTTGCTTTGTTAACTTATACTTTCATGACATCATCTTCAAAGTCATTGACACTTTGATCTTAAATGCAAACACAGCAAGCATAAAACAGCTTTTAAGGTCCGAAACATTCTCGGGACTTTCGAGAAACGGGCCACTGACCCGCAATTCCAAGTTTTTAGTTTTTACATTTTATTTTATTTTATTAGATTCGCCAACTATTGGCAGGGTCACCGCAACAGCATGACGCCAATTACTGCGGGCCCGTAAAGTCCCTCCCCCCATGAGAGATAGATCACCACACCGGGGACTACGTCCCCTACTCTTTACGAACTGTTACAGTGTGTAATAATATGAGTAAAGTCAACTAAGAGAAACCAGCAACAACAAGAGTTGTATCCTTCAGTAAACACCTGCCCGAAGAACCTGCATTTTCTGGCCCAAGGTAGCCTAAACAGGTTCTTACATAAATGGTAAATAGCACAAATTTAGGCCCCTTAGGTTCTTAAATAGGATGTTATTTTCTTAAGAAAAAAAAATATTGTAGCTACGAGTATTTAGTGGTATTCACCTTGTTCCTTAAGTAATTTGTTCACCATACCTTTTATGACAATCGTAGTTTTAGTAATAAGGCACCTAATATCTTTAAAGAGGATCCTGAATGTTGACTTACCTTTTTTGCCCCAGTATTCAGAATTTATGTTTATAGATTTTAATTAGCCAAAGAACGTTTTTTAAATTTTAGGCTTAACAAGTCGGTCTTGTATAGAGGTGGCCTAACAGTCAAATTTTAGCCCAACAGGTTCTTAGTCGCAGGTTTTTACTGTATTATGCAAGAAAGATCAAGAGACCACGTAAAAACTGTTTTCATTCCGAAAACATGAGCGATATTGTAGATCAATAGGAAATCACACTTGAATTGCATTTCTAAGGATGAGATCATATCATATTTGGTCAAATATCTGGATTCGATGGTTATCCTCATCACTCACAACTATCCTCCCATCACTAAGATTTGCTGTAGAAACTGGATAATTAAACTCTCCTCTCTCGCTACCTTCATTTCCAAACTTTGTAACAAACTTTCCACTAAGTTCAAATAACTGAACTCTGTGATTGAATGAATCACAGACCATTAGCAATCCTTGTTTGTTAACTGACAAATAACGGGGCTTATTGAACTCTCCATCCTTTTCCCCCTGCTTTCCAAATTTAGAAATAAACTTTCCTTCGAGATCAAACATTTTAATAGAATCATCACCATAGTCTGAGACTATCAGATATTGACCGTGTTGGATACAGTGATAGGGACTGACCAAAGAACCTGCTCTACCAAATTTTCGTAAATACTCTCCAGTGGAAGAGAATATCTTGATTAATTTGTTAGTTCTATCAGCAACAATAATATCACCGTTGCCATTTATTGATAAACCTTCAGGATAAGTAAGCTGGTGATCAAGACTTCCATATTCACCAAACTTACGAAGAAACTTACCATTTCTATCAAAGACTTGAACCCTGTGGGTTTTACAGTCTGTCACTATAATATTACCAAGACTATCAAAAGCGATCCCTGAAGGTGCATTAAACTCACTATTATTCTCACCCTTCCTACCAAACGATCTTAAGTGGGTACCGTCGCTACTAAACAGTGAAATCCTGTTGTTCCAGAGTTCAGTGACAGCAATTTCATCACGATCATTCACTGCCACCCCCGAGGGCCCTTTAAGCATTCCAGCAGACTTACCTTCTCGTCCAAATGATAGCACAGGAATGTAACGCTTGGTCTGTACCCGAGCCTCAAGAGGACTGTCACGAACATTTGGCCTTTTATTCCCAGCAATTGCTTCACTGCTTGCCGTGCGTTTAACCCCTAATTTTTGCACTTTAGATTCACTAAAAACAATTTTTACATTACCTATACCTTCACTGTTCAACACGTTAATCAGTTTTTCTCTTTTAGTGAAACTAAACCGAGGAATAAATTCAGTGTCACGGTTTCCTTGGGTCCCCTGTTCCTGTAGGATTGCATCAAATGTTTCTCTGAATCCAAGAATTTCTGTACTAAAGTTTCGTTTCATCAAAGATTCAGCTTGTTCAATTGCTGATTCAATTATTTTCACTTGATTTTCAACTTCGTCTTTTTTCTGTGAAAGTGATTGAAGTGATATTTTCGCTTCATAATCGACCACATCAAAAACATTCTGTTTCCTCGCTTCAATGATTGCAATCATTTGGTCTACATTCGTTTGCACTTGGCTTTTTACGTCGGCTACTTGTGCTTGCACTTCCATGCTCTTTTGGTTGAATTGTTCGACTTCCTTTCTTTTTTCCACCATTTTATCTTTCAAGGAAGTAATCACGGAGTTGATCTGTATCTTGCGCGCATCTGCCGCTTCTTGCAAGTGCATCTTACCATGACCTTCATGAAGCGTTACAGCGCAAGTGTTGCAAATGGCGACTTTACAGTCCTTGCAAAAGAACTTCAGTTCTTCTCTTTCATGATGTTTCTTCTGACAAATTGCTGGTTGCTTTAACACAGCCTCGAAGTCTTGATCTTGAAAATCATTCAGTACCAGCGTTTTGTGTTCTTTATTGGTGCGTATTATGTTATGTCCTAAAATACATTGCTTGCACCAGAAAGAACAACACTGGAAGCAATATAAGGTCTGGGCACTCCGCTTGTCGCAATTTCCGCATTTCACGTTAGCTGTACTGCACTCTTTAATTGTTAAGACATCTAGCAAACTGTTGATACGAACATTGGTTGGAAGTTCGCTGGGATTTCCACTTCCAGGGATCTCAAACTGTCTTTTACACTCGGGGCATGTAATTTTGCCATGGAGGCCGCTCTTTTGTTGAATTCCTTTGAGGCAGTGAAGACAGAAACTGTGCAAACAAGGCAACTGCTTTGGATCAGTGAATGTACACATACACATAGAACAGGATACTTCATCATGAAGATTGTCCAGCACGGTCTTTATATCCATGTAAATCAGAGTTCGGAAGTGAGTTTGAAATACTCTATAAAGCTTGTTGTTGGAGATATTATCCTTCGTAATGCCTTCTGACCCCTCAATCAAACAGAGCCTTTTGCATTGTTTGACATTTTGACGTAATATCCTGTTTTTCTTAGAACTGTTCATTCTGGTTCCCAGACCTTCGATCTTCGGTCAGAGTCGATCCCTGACACTGACCAAAAGGATCCAAGCTCTGAGAACGAGAATGGGAACCTTTTTTTCTGCTCTCCAGAAAGCATGAACTGTTGGCTGTCGCAATTTTTATCGTCACCTAAATACTTGGACTGGATCACTTTGCAGAGCTCAAAAATCCACACGCGACATTCATTCTGAATTATAACAGGTAACGAGGCCAGGTTATCCTTTCTACATATGAAGCCTTTCCTCCGTTCAATGTCTTCACATGTACTAAAAATAATCACTTTGCTAGGAACTACCATTCCACTGTACCAGTACATTCATTTTTATCAGTGGCGTTTTGGCTGCGGAGAGGACACGCTCGCACGAAGAGGGAGCCGGAAAATCATTTTCATGTTTTCACTGTCACGCCATCAAAGATAAAAATGCAAACTATTCAATACAGGAAGTCCAGAATCTAGGAAATGAAAGAAGATAAATATACAAAAAGCCTCGCCAGATATTCGGAAAACGTTTTACCCAAATTTGTAAAGTTTTGTATGGAGACGCCATGTTGGTGTCCCTTTGAGTGACACAAATATGGCGGCCGGAAGCCAACACAAACATCTGTTTATGAGTTGTGCCACTAACGCGTGAATTAATCGCTTGAGGAACTCATCAAAAAATAGTTAACGTTAATGTTGTCAACCCACATAAGTCATGTTTTCGCGCGAAAGCTCACCTGGTATTTCATTGATGTTTAAATAATAAGGACCAGTATTTCACGGCCTTGGGCACTTGATATTTAAGGACTATTTTAAAGGCTTAGTCGGAATCACTAATTGGTTCTAGTAGATGAATCAGTACCTGTGGCTTGGTAGGCTTTTGGCGGAGGGAAAAAACTAATAAAAGTAATATTATACATCTGCAGTCAGTTGCTCTAGCCCTTACTTCTAGAGTCAGTAACAAAATGCATCAACAGGAGTTTGCGAAAAGGGTGGGAGGGGGGGAGGGGTTGGGGCAAATTAATATACAGAGGGAGCTAAAGCAACGACGACGGCGACGTCAACGAGAACGGCAAAAAAGAGTTACAGGTTTAGATCGGCAAAACAACAACTCTGCACAAGCATCACGTACATTTCTTTGCCGTCACTGCACGACTACGACGTGAAAATGCCTAATTTCACGTTTTGTTGAGAATGTGAACACAAGACAACGAGTTTGGTTTCTTTAATTTCCTGATCATCTTCAATGCAGTGTTTTAGAATTCAACTCCAGAAAAAACTGCCAACATTTGACCAACTGAAAGAGATACAATAAGCGCGATAAGGTTTGAGGCAGCGCGACTTCACTTTTTAAATGACGTTTTCGTAGCCGTCGCCTCGTTGTCACTTGTTTAACAAGCTCCCTATTGACGCACGAACGGATGGAGGAAGACCCAATCAGTTTGTGAAAGGTCGGTAACTCGTATTAGTATATACACACTCAGCGATCTTGGTGATTTAAGCAATCTGATTGGTTCGCTATCTCGGACTATTCAACAATATTCACGCCCTAGCGAGTGAATAATGTGTTAGCTCGGTGTTTTCCCCACTTTTTTTAGAGAACGATCTTTTAAAAGTCGACAAAATCTTAGAACTGACTTTTCTTAAGGAAAGAAAAGACTTGGAACGATTCAATACGGCGTTTTTCAGCTCTGTAGCTGAGTTTGGTGCTCAATGGATTGTTTACAACTCCCGTGTATTCGCGTAGAAGAAGCCGTTTCGTGAACTCAACGTTTTCTAACAAGAAAATTTTGGCTCAAAAAATCGAAGTTTATTTATGACAAACAAATTTAAAAGGAAATGTTTGCAGAAATTGTACGTTTCAAGTAAACAGGAAAAAGAATGATACAGGAAGACGACGTCTTACCTCGAGCAACCGAGCCACTATTTTTGTCAGCACTTCATGCGAAGAACGACACAACAAACCCTTTTGGCTATAAACTTGGCGAGTCAACAGAAAACAACAAAGCTCTACTTTTCTTCTCAGGTGAGGAAACAATTCAAACTTTTAGCGGTTCCATTTAAGCCATTACGCTGTTGTTTGCGAAATGATTAACTTGTGAATTGCCATGTTTGATCTATCAAATCGTACTTTTTAATGGTTTCCTCTCTTATTTTGTTGAGATCATTTCGTGTGTATGTACTAAAACAATTATTCTTTTCAATCTCGGTGAACAGTGGCTTTGGGAATATTTACCTCGCCGCTTTCGCGGCTCGGTAAATATTTAGCCACTATTCACCTCGATTTTAAAGAATAATTGTTAAATAGCACATAAACAATAAACTGACTAAGCTGAGGCTGCGCGAGCCGTGCGCTTATTTTACCACCCCCCTCCATCAGGTGCTTCTTTTTCAAACGGGTATTAAAAGCTACTTTATGCTCCGCGGAAAGGAAAGAAGCCGAAAAAAGTATCGAGTAGGTCACACCTGGGAATCAAACAGCCCGCGCTCCTGATCGACTGTGTCAATCCTTGGTCATAGTCAGAGAGATAGATATAGGCAGATAGACATACAGGCAGACGGGACAGGCTAGCCTGCGAAAACAGCCGTTTCTCTTCGTTCCTCGCCGCTCAGCACGTTTTGCCAGGAGGAACGTCTACGTCTCAGTGACGTAAATTCCATACTGATGACGTAAATCAACGCTTACATAATTAATCTGATAGACTTGGGGTTTAAAATGCAAATTTGTTTGATTTTACGTTTCTCCTGGTCGATTTTGGTAAAGTTCTGTGTTTATTTGGGAGCTCCAGTAGAACTCAAATGATTCTTCTAGAGAACAGACAGAGCATCCATCCTATAGACACATATGTCCACAAGGTGGCCTATGACTTTACCCTTGAAGATTTGGAAGACATCATCTTATTCCTCGGACTTAACTACGTATCCAAAAAAATCTTTCCAGCTTTTTTTATAACAAAGCACGACGGTCTGTTATTTCGAAGTGCGGGCCGAGGTATTTTAGTATAGACTGCGATCAAGTCCTCTTCCCTTTCGATTCTTCTTTAGCCTATTAATATTCACAAGGAACGCGCGATCACGCTTTTTTTTCGGGGAAAGGGGAAAAAGGAACGGCTTCCTTTTCCCCTCGCCTCTAAAACAAAAAAGAAAGAAGGACTGCCTGATCGCAGGTTAATTCACACCTCAACCACTTCTCCCTTAGCAGCATTAGCGCTGAACAACTCCCCTTAAAGCCAGCGCCAGCAGTCTCTTCGTTTCAAGATTTTGTACAAGATTTCCCTTTGGCTTTTTAACCGGGTATTAATACCCCCAGGAAATATATTTTGGTCTTTGCCGATTGTGCAAAACTCTTGAGGTTATGCCATTGAGTCCCTTACTTGAGAAGCTGGTGGCAGGCCACGCCCCTTGTAGCATTAAATCATTTGAAATGTTACAAGAGAACTTGAAGAATCAGCGTGATTCGGTTAAAAAGGGCTGATTTATTTATTTATTTATTTATTTATTTATTTAGCTTCGCCTAACTAGAATACAACAGGAGAGTCCTCGCTATGTTGCACCTGGGACAGATTGTTCTCCAGGTTCTGATGTCGTCAACGTCGTTCAGGTCTAGCGCCTTATTGTAATATTGAAATAGGGAACGCTTAAATGAGGCTAGAGAGATGTGACTTGCGCGTAACTCAACAGGCAGAACATTCCATGTGCGGCACGCGCGTATGAAAAATAGTTGATAAGTAACAGTTCTACTTCGCTTAGGGATATAAGTGATAGCATTGGTGCTCGATGACCTGGTAGATCTCGTTGATTGTCTAGTTGCAGGCAGAACTTCACTATCTATGAGAACTAAGTTATCAACAGCTTTATAGAAAAAGACTATATCCAAAAATTCATGCCAGTATGAGATAGGTAACAGATTTATTACTTGGAGGCGGGTCTTATAGGTTACATCGCAACGGAAGAGAAGCTTCAAAATTAGTTTTGTTGCACGGAGCTGCACGTTTTCAACTCGCTTTAGTAAGCTAATGGACTGTGGCGACCATACTTGGGTTGCATAGCCGAGATGGCACCGGACGATAGAAAGATAAAGTGTACGACGCGCTTGGGTGCTTTGGATGTACCTAGAAGCTCGGCGAACAAAGCTGAGGAGTTTAGTGGCTTTCGCACACTGCTCAGTCACCTGTTTGTCCGAGGTAAGATTACTTGACACCCACACACCAAGGTCTTTCTCTGTATCGCAAGATTCCAAAGGCGTCTCGTTGATAATTTAGGTGGGCTGTACGGGTGATTTTTTGCAGGTGATACACTGGTATTTACACTTGGACTGATTAAATATGAGCCCAGGTGATTCAGACCAACCGACAAGATCGTTGCGATCAGATTGCAAGGCATAACAGTCTGTGATGGAATCAATGCTCTTGAAATTCTTAGTATCATCGGCATAACAGGCAACTCTCGATGTCTTAACAGTGTTTGGTAGACCATCCACAAACAACAGAAACAATATCGGCCCTAGTAGGGACTCTTGTGGTACCCCTGATGAAGCCGACAATTCTCGGGAAGTGGCTCCGAGAATCGTAACCTGTTGCTTGCGTCCCTGTAAGCATGAACGGAACCAGTCGTGACGTTTGCCAGTAATGCTGTATTGGTGCAACCTTCCAAAAGTAACTTGGTGTGATCCACTTTGTCGAATGCCTTACTCATGTCAAGATATATAATGTCTATTTGTTTAACGGCGTCGAGTTGACCGCCAATGTAATGTAGGACACTGGTGAGCTGAGTCACACAAGATCTACCAGCTAAAAGCCATGCTGTTCGTGACTGATAAGGTGGAATATATGATCTCGTAGACCCGCCAGAACACAGCGCTCGAGAACTTTTACTGTAGATGACAGAGAGAAGGGAAATAGGGCTGTAATTCTCCACAAAGTCTCTCTTTCCTTCTTGAAAATGGGTACAATATTCGCGAGTTTTCAGTCTCCCGGAAAAATAGATACACGCCAAACTGGTCTCGTAATTTAGAGAGGGATTTTTTTGAATGAAAATCTTAGCGCCCTATCGGTGTAGCCTTGTACTTTCTTTTGAGAAAGAACAACGAATTTTTTGTTTTAGTTTTTGCAAAATCTCAGCAAGGGAAAGTAAGATACTAGGGTAAAAATTTATCAGTGACACAAACCGAGGAAATTTTAAAATGCGAATTGAAGTTTAGTACATGTTTACATGTACTACATCATTACGCTTAGATTTTCACATTTATAGGTAACATAATAGCCATTACACTATGATTAGCACAAAGTTTTTTTTAAAATAGTTATTATATCATCTGACAATGGCTGTGGTGAATGAATATAGTTTACACTTTCACTTAAATCATTCAGAATCACTACACTTTTTGAAAATCTTTTGTCATGTATTAAATTGCCAGCAGTTTCGGTTAAGGAGATGGCACAGGTAGCACACGAGCGTCAGGCAAGAAGCGAAAACATCGGCCGAGACGACTGATCTCACTCGATTCTCCCGTCTCAGGACTTGCACCTCGCCGCTTGTATCCTACTGATTCTCTGGAAAAAATTAAGCGATTGTTCGCCGTCTAATGTTCTACATATTGGCACACATTATACAAGAAACTACAAAAACAAATACACTGCATGGTCCATTGTTTAATAAGTAGAGGAAAAAATGATACACACTAAAACGCATCGGAGAAACTTTGCGCTCTTTTGTACCATTAAATATTACTAGAAAAGTAGGTAAAAAAGCCTGCAACTTTGCTCTTTTTCAGTCTGAGCAGTTTAGTACAAAAATGTAAACCAGAGGCTGGTTTTGCTATTGAACAAGTTAAAATGTATTAAAAATAATAACCCTCCTGTAAAATATATCATACCTATTGAACACACTTGCGGCCCGTTTCTCAAAAGGCCCGGTAACTTTTGGGTCCGAAATCAAAACCTGTTGAATTTATAACAGCACAGTTCTGTCCGAGCTCACAAACCGGTCAATTTTGCTTTGTTAACTGATACTTTCATTGTATCATCTTCAAAGTTATTGACACTTTGATCTTAAATGCAAACACATTAAGCATAAAACAGCTTTTGAGGTCCGAAACATTCTCGGGACTTTCGAGAAACGGGCCACTGACCCGCAATTTCAAGTTGGGTTTTTACATAATAATATGAGTAAGGTCAGCTAAGGGAAAACAGCAACAACAAGCGATGTATCCTACAGTAAACACCTGCCCGAAGAACCTGCATTTTCCGACCCAAGTTAGCCTAAACAGGTTCTTACATAAATGGTAATTAACACAAATTTAGACTATTTAGGTTTATAAATAGGATTTTATTTTCTAAAAAATACAATATAGCTAAGAGTATTTAGTGGTATTCGGCTTGTTCCTTTGGTAAGACTGTAAATACCATTACAATTGCATGTCGAGTGATAAGGCACCCAATGTCTCCAACGCAAGAGAATCCTGAATGTTGAGTTATCTTATTTGCCCAAGTGTTCAGAACTTTTGTTATAGATTTTAGCCAAAGAACCTGTTTCAAATTTTACGTATAACGGGTTCTTGTATAGAGGCGGCGTAAGTGTCAAATTTTAGCCTAACAGGTTCTTAAAAACCAGATTTTTAGCCGTGGGTTTTTACTGTGTTAGGCAAAGTAGATCAAGAAACTAAACTACGTCAAAAATGTTTTTCTTCCGACAATATGAGTAATTGTAGATCAATAGTAGATCACACTTTTAAGGAATAATGCATTTCTAAGAATAAGATCATATCATATTTGGTCAAATATCTGGATTCGATAGTTATTCCTATCACTCACAACTATCCTACCATCACTAAGACTTGCTGTAGAAACCGGAAAAATAAACTCTCCTCTCCCACTACCTTCACTTCCAAACTTTGTAACAAACTTTCCACTCGTCAGTTCAAAAACCTGAACTCTGTGATTACTTTCATCACAGACCATTAACAATCCTTCTTTGTTAACTGACAAGTAATGGGGCTTATTGAACTCTCCATCCTTGTTTCCCCGTTTTCCAAATTTAGAAATAAACTTTCCTTCAAGATCAAACATTTTAATGGAATCATCACCATAGTCTGTGACTATAAGATATTGCCCGTGTTGGATACAGTGATATGGATTGACCAAAGAACCTACTCCACCAATTTTACGTAAATACTCGCCACTAGAAGAGAATATCTTGATTAATTTGTTACCTTTATCAGTAACAATAATATCACCGTTGCCGTTTATTGATAAACCTTCAGGTCTTTTAAGTTGGTGATCAAGAATTCCATTTTGGCCAAACGTACGAAGAAACTTACCTTTTCTATCAAAGACTTGAACCCTATGGTTTTCACAGTCTGCCACTACAATATTGCCAAGACTATCAAAAGTGATCCCAGAAGGTTCAGCAAACTCACCATTATTCTTACCTTTTTTACCAAACGATCTTAAGTAGGTACCGTCACTACGGAAGACTGAAACCCTGTGATTCAAGATTTCAGTCACAACAATTACATCATGATCATTCACTGCCACCCCCCAAGGCTCGTTAAGCATTCCAAAAGACTCACCTCCTTGTCCAAATGATAGCACAGGAATGTAACGCTTGGTCTGTACCTGAGCCTCAAGAGGACTGTCACGAACATTTGGCCTTTTATTCCCAGCAATTGCTTCACTGCTTACCCTGCGTTTAACCCCTGATTGTTGCAATTTAGTTGGGCTAAAAACAATTTTTACATTACCTATACCTTCACTGTTCAACACGTTAATCAGTTTTTCACTTTTAGTAAAACGAAACCGAGGAATACAATCTGTGTCACGGTTTTCTTGGGTGCCCTGATCCTGTAGGATTTTTTCAAATGTTTCATTGAATCCAAGGATTTCTGCACTAAAGTTTCGTTTCACCAGAGATTCAGTTTGCTCAATTGCTGATTCAATCATTTTCACTTGATTTTCAACTTCGCCTTTTTTCTGAGAGAGTGTTTCAAGTGATTTTTTCGCTTGAGTATCCACCGCTTCATAAACATCCTGTTTGCTCGCCTCGATGATTGCAATCATTTGGTCTACATTCGTCTGCACTTGGCTTTTTACGTCGGCTACTTGTGCTTGAACTTCCATGCTCTTTTGGTTGAATTTTTTTACTTCCTTTCTTTTTTCCACCATTTTATCTTTCAAGGAAGAAATCATGGAGTTGATCTGTATCTTGCGCGCATCTGCAGCTTCTTGCGAGGGCATCTTACCATGACCTTCATGAAGCGTTACAGCGCAAGTGTTACAAATGGCGACTTTACAGCTCTTGCAAAAGAATTTCAGTTCTTCTTTTTCATGGTGTTTCTTCTGGCAAAATGCTGGTCGCTTTAACACAGCCTCGAGGTCTTGATCCTGAAAATGCTTCAGTGCAAGAGTTTTGTGTTCTTTATTGGTGCGTATTATGTTATGTCCCAAAATACATTCCTCGCACCAGAAAGAACAACACTGGAAACAATACAAGGTCTGGGCGCTGCGCTTGTCGCAATTTCCGCATTTCACGTTAGCTGTGCTGCACTCTTTAATTGCCAAGATATCTAGCAAACTGTTGATACGAACATTGGTGGGAAGTTCGCTGGGATTTCCACTTCCAGGGACCTCAAACTGTCTTTTACACTCGGGGCATGTAATTTTGCCATGGACGCCGCTCGTTCGTTGAATTCCGTTCAGGCAGTTAAGACAGAAACTGTGCAAACAAGGCAACTGCTTTGGATCAGTGAATGTACACATGCACACAGAACAGGATACTTCATTATGACGATTGTCCAGCAAGGTCTGTGTATCCATGGAAAAGGTCGGGAGTGTGTTTGAAATACTCTATAAAGCTTGTTGTTGGCCATGCGGTGTTTTGAATCGGATTTTCAAAGAACCCATCCAACGTAATGCCTTATTAATTAAACAGAGTCCATTGAATTGTTTGATGTTTTGACGTAATATCCTGGTTTTCTTAGAACTGTTGTTCTGCTCTACAAAGCATGAACTATTGTCTGTCACAATTTTTTTCGGCAGCTAAATAATAAGACTGCATCACTTTAAAGCAGTCAAAAATCCGCACGCGACATTCATTCTGAGGTATAAAACAGGTAACGAGGCCAGGTTATCCTTTCTAGATGTCAAGGCTCTCCTTCGTTCAATGTCTCCACATGTATTTAAAAAATTATCACTTTGTTAGGACCTACCATTCCACTGTACCAGTACATTCACGCATGTCAGTAGCTTTATGGCTGGAGGGATGACAAGGGCGCGCACGAAGAGGGAGCAGGAAAATCATTTTCATTCTATTCTCACTGTCACGCCATCGAAAATAAAAATGAAAACCATTCAATACAGAAAGTCTAGAATCTAGGAAATGAAAGAAGATAAATATACAAAAAACCTCGCCAAGAATCAGATCTGTGCTATATTTCATATGCGAGATATTCGGAAAAATGTTTTACCCAAATTAATAAAGCATTGTATGGAGATGCTATGTTGATGTTCATTTCAATCAAAAAAAGCTCATTTTAATTAAAAACAATTGATTGCTATTGAAAATGAAATAAAATGTCCCTTTGAGGCGCACCAATATGGCCGCCGGAAACCAACACAAACATCTGTTTTTTTAATTTTCCTACTTATGCGTGAATTCATCGTTTGAGGAACTCATAAATATTAAAGTAATATTTATTCTGAGACAAGGAATGTTTAGATAGTAAACTCTCTTAAACTAGGTAACGTTTTAAAGCCATATAGGAGCTTTCCGTCCGGCGGGGGTACTTTAGGAATTCCGGGGTGTGGATGTGCCGCTGGAACCCTGGAACCCTGGAACCCTTAACCTATACCAGAGCTAGTTCAGCTGAATTTTGTAATATTCATTTGCAGTCAGTTGTTTTAGCTCTCACCTCTAGAGTCAGTAACAAAGTGTATCGAGAGGAGTTTGCGAAAAGGGGAGGGGGGAGGAGGGTGGGGCAAATCGATATACAGAGGGGCACACAAAAAACAGGATTAGGGAGCTAAAGCAACGACGACGGCGACGTCAACGAGAACGGCAAAAAAGAGTTAAAGGTTTAGATCGGCAAAACAACAACTCTGCACGTACATCACGTACATTTCTTTGCCGTCACTGCACGACTACGACGTGAAAATGCCTAATTTCACGTTTTGTTGAGAATTTGGACACAAGACAACGAGTTTGGTTTCTTTTCCTGAAATAGAATTGAACTCCAGAAAAAACTGCCAACATTTGACGAACTGAAAGAGATAGAATAAGCGCCATAAGGTTTTACCACCCTCCTCCATCAGGTGCTTCTTTTTCAGACGGGTATTAAAAGCTACTTTAACTCCACGGAAAGGAAAGAAGCCGACAAAAGTATCGAGTAGGTCACACCTGGCAACTGAACAGCCCGGGCTCCTGACCAACTGTGTTAATCCTTGGTCCTAGTCAGAGAGATAGATAGGCAGATAGACAGACAGGCAGACAGGACAGGCTGACAGGCTAGCCTGCGAAAACAGCCCTTTCCCTTTGTTCCTCGCTGCTCAGGACGTTTTGCCAGGAGGAACGTCTCCGTCTCAGTGACATAAACTGCATACTGATGACGTAATTATAAATCAATGTTTACATATTTAATCTGGTAGACTTGGGGTTTAGAATGCAAATTTGTTCGATTTTATGTTTCTCCTGGTCGATTTTGGTAAAGTTTTGTGTTTATTTGCGAACGAGCTCCGGCAGAACTCAAATGCTTGTTCTAGAGAAGAATATATTCTTTTAGTAAAATTCAACAAGTGGTCTATTATCAATGCTGCATTCTGATTGGTTGAACTACTACTAGGCTATATGTTATAGCCCACTAATGGCGAAAAGCGCCGGCTTGTTCGCAGCAAAAAGGATTAAAGTCTAGCTTTAACTAGCTAGAATTTATTCTTTATATTTTTGACCAACTAGTTGGATTTTACTAAAACAATTATTTCTCTCGCCGTCATGGCCTCTGAGTCAATAGCCTATTCGGGCTCGAGGAATATTTGTTAAATATTCAAATGGCTATTTATTTATTCAAATTAACAGACAGAGCATCCATCCTAAAGACACGTATGTCCGCAAGGAGGCAGATGACTTTACCCTTGAAGATCTGGAAGACATCATTTTATTCCTCGGACTTAACTACATATCCACAAACAATAATCCAGCTTTTTTAATAACAAAGCTCGACGGTCTGTTATTTCGAAGTGCGGGCCGAGGTATTCTAGTATAGACTGCGATGAAGTCCTCTTTCCTTCGTTTCTTCTTAAACCCATTCACACCTAATCCGCGATCAGGCTTTTTTTCGGGGAAAGGGGAAAAAAGAACGGCGTCCTTTTCCCCTTGCCTCTAAAACAAAAAAGGAAGAAGCACCGCCTGATGGCGGATTAATTCACACCTCACCCACTCCACCCTTAGTAGCATCAGCATTGACCAACACCCCTTAATGCCCGCGCAAGGAGACTCATCGTTTTAAGATTTTGTAACGGATTTCCCTTTGGCTTTTTAACCGGGGATTAACACCCTAACGATTAATATTTTGGTCTTTGCCGATTGTCAAAACTCTCGAAGTTATACCGTTGAGTCCCTTAGCAGAGAAGCTGCTGGCAGGTCACGCTTCGCGTAGCATTAACTCATTTGAAATGTTAAAAGAGAACTCAGACTGAAGAGAACTTAAAGAATGACGTGATTCGGTTAAAAAGGGCTTGGATACACGCCGAACTGGTCACGTAATGTTACACTGGGAATTTTTGAATGAAAATTTTATCGCTCTATCTAGCCGTGTACTTTCTTTTTTAAGAAAGTACAACGAATTTTTTGTTTTAGTTTTTCCAAAATCTCTGAAATTTGTAAGGGTAAGTTATAATGAACACTAGGGTAAAAATGTATCAGTGAGACAAACCAACCAAAATTTTAAAATGCGAATTGAAGTTTATTACAAATTGACATGTATTACATCATTACGCTTAGATTTTCACATTTATAGCATAATAGCCATCACACTACGATTAATACAAGGTTTTTTTAATGGTTCTTATAGCATTTGACAATTGCTATGGTGGCTTATAATTTTCACATTAACTCGAAACATTAAGAATCTACACTTTTTCAAAATCCTTTGTCGTGTATTAAATTGCCAGCAGTTTATTACTTTTCTTCAAAAGTTAAGTAGATGGCACAAGCAGCACACAAGCGTTAGGGAAGAAGCGAAAACATCGGCCTAGAAGACTGATTTCACTCGATTCTCGCGTCTAAAGACTTGCAACTCGTCGCTTGTATCCTACTGATTCTGTAAAGAAAATTAAGCGATTGTTCGTACATATTGGCACACATTATACAAGAAACTACAAAAAACAAATACACTGGTCCATTGTTTAATAAGTAGATGAAAAAATGATACACACTAAAGCGCCTTTCGGAGAAACTTTGTGCTCTTTTTGAGAGTGTCAAGTCTACCATTTAATTAATAGTACTAGAAAAGTATACTAAGTAAAAAAGCCTGAAATTAGACTACTTCTGTCTGAGCAGTTTGCTATTGAACAAGTTAATATGCATTTAAAATGAAAACCCTCCTGTAAAATATATCTACCAATTGAACACTCTTGAGGCCCGTTTCTCGAACGGCCCGGTAACTTTTGGGTCCGAAAACAATTTGAAATCAAAACCTGTTGAATTTATAGCAGCACAGTTCAGTCCGAGCTCACAAACCGGTCAATTTTACTTTGTTAACTGATACTTTCATTGTATCATCTTCAAAGTTATTGACATAAAACACCTTTTAAGGCCCGAAACATTCTCGGGACTTTCGAGAAACGGTGCGCCACTGACCCCCAATTTCAAGTTAAGTTTTTACGTCAGCTAAGGGAAAACAGCAACAACAAGAGATTCTCCTACAGTAAACACCTACCCGAAGAACCTGCATTTTCTGGCCCAACAACAGGTTGTTACACAAATAGTAATTAGCACAAATTTAGGCTATTTAGGTTCTTAAATAGGATGTTATTTTCTGAAGAAAAACTAAAAATATATCATAGCTGAAAAGTAGTATTTCAGTGGTATTCAGCTTGTTCCTTAAGAAACTAAACTACGTCCAAAACGTTTTTCTTCCGAACACATGAGTAATTGTAGATCGATTAGTAGTAGATCACAATTTTAAGTAGCTGCATTTCTAAGGATAAAATCATATCATATTTGGTCAAATATCTGGATTCGATGGTTATCCTTATCGCTCACAACTATCCTCCCATCACTAAGACTTGCTGTAGAAACTGGATACTTTAACGCTCCCCTCTCGCTACCTTCACTTCTAAACTTTGTAACAAACTTTCCACTCAGTTCAAATACCTGAACTCTGTGATTGTATGAATCACAGACCATTAGCAATCCTTCTTTGTCAACTGACAAATAACGGGGCCTATTGAACTGTCCATCCCTCTCCCCACGTTTTCCAAATTTAGAAATAAACTTTCCTTCAAGATCAAACATTTTAATGGAATCGTCACCATAGTCTGAGACTATAAAATATTGACCATGTTGGATACAGTGATAGGGTTCGACCAAAGAACCTGCTCCACCAAATTTACATAAATACTCCCCACTAGAAGAGAATATCTTGATTAATTGGTTATGGACATCAGTAACAATAATATCACAGTTGCCGTTTATTGATAAACCTTCAGGGTAGCTAAGCTGGTGATCAAGACTTCCACACTCACCAAACCTATGGAGAAACTTTCCATTTCTATCAAAGACTTGCACCCTGTGGTTTTTACAGTCTGTCACTACAATGTTACCAAGACTGTCAAAAGCGATCCCTGAAGGTTGATTAAACTCACCATTATTCTGACCCTCGCTACCAAACGATCTTAAGTGGGTACCGTCACTACTAAACACTGAAACCCTGTGGTTGAAGAGTTCAGCCACAGCAATTTCATCATGGTCATTCACTGCCACCCCCCAGGGCCCTTTAAGCATTCCAACAGACTTACCTTCTCGTCCAAATGATAGCACAGGAATGTAACGCTTGGTCTGTACCTGAGCCTCAAGAGGACTGTCACGAACATTTGGCCTTTTATTCGCAGCAATTGCCTCACTGCTTGCCCTGCGTTTAACCCCTGATTTTTGCCCTTTAAATTCGCTAAAAACAATTTTTACATTACCTATACCTTCACTGTTCAACACGTTAATCAGTTTTTCACTTTTAGTGAAACTAAACCGAGGAATAAATTCAGTGTCACGGATTCCTTGGGTGCCCTCTTCCTGTAGGATTTTATCAAATGTTTCATTGAATCCAAGAATTTCTGTACTAAACTTTCGTTTCATCAGAAATTCAGTTCGTCTAATTGCTGACTCAATTATTTTCACTTTATTTTCAACTTCGTCTTTTTTCTGTGAAAGTGATTCAAGTGATTTTTTCGCTTGATATTCGACCGCGTTAAAAACATCCTGTTTCCTCGCTTCAATGATTGCAATCATTTGGTCTACATTCGTCTGCACTTGGCTTTTTACGTCTGCTACTTGCGCTTGAACTTCCATGCTCTTTTGGTTGAGTTGTTCGACTTCCTTTCTCTTTTCCACCATTTTATCTTTCAAGGAAGAAATCATGGAGTTGATCTGTATCTTGCACGCATCTGCAGCTTCTTGCACGGGCATCTTACCATGACCTTCATGAAGCGTTACAGCGCAAGTGTTGCAAATGGCGACTTTACAGCCCCTGCAAAAGAACTTCAGTTCTTCTTTTTCATGATGTTTCTTCTGACAAATTGCTGGTCGGTTTAACACAGCCTCGAAGTCTTGATCTTGAAAATCATTCAGTAGCAGCGTTTTGTGTTCTTTATTGGTGCGTATTATGTTATGTCCCAAAATGCATTGCTTGCACCAGAAAGAACAACACTGGAAGCAATATAAGGTCTGGGCACTCCGCTTGTCGCAATTTCCGCATTTCACGTTAGCTGTACTGCACTCTTTAATTGCCAAGACATCTAGCAAACTGTTGATACGAACATTGGTTGGAAGTTCGCTGGGATTTCCACTTCCAGGGATTTAAAACTGTCTTTTACACTCGGGGCATGTAATTTTGCCATGGAGGCCGCTCTTTCGTTGAATTCCTTTGAGGCAGTGAAGACAGAAACTGTGCAAACAGGGCAACTGCTTTGGATCAGTGAATGTACACATACACACAGAACAGGATACTTCATCATGAAGATTGTCCAGCAATGTCTTTATATCCATGGAAATGTTCGGAAGTGAGTTTGAAATACTCTATAAAGCTTGTAGTTGGAGATATTATTCAAGCTACATAATGCCTCCTGACACCTTAATTAAACAGAATCTCTTGCATTGTTTGACATTTTGACGTAATATCCTATTTTTCTTAGAACTGTTCATTCTCGTTCCCAGACCTTCGATCCTTTTGGTCAGCATCAGGGATCGATACACTGACCATCAAAAATAAAAATGCAAACTATTCAATACAGGAAGTCCAGAATCTAGGAAATGAAAGAAGATAAATATACAAAAATCCTCGCCAAGAATTTAATATTTGTCTTCAGACAAGGAACAGCTAGGAACGTTGAGATAGCAAAATCTCCAAAAATAGGCAACGTTAATGTCGTTAACCACATAAGTCATGTTTTCGCGCGAAAGCTCACCTGGTATTTCATTGATGTTTAAATAATAAGGACCAGTATTTCACGGCCTCGGGCATTTGATATTTAAGGACTATTTTAAAGGCTTAGTCGGAATCATCAATTGGTTCTAGTGGATGAATCAGTACCTGTGGCTTGCCAGGCGTTGGCGGAGGGAAAAAAGTAATATTATACATCTGCAGTCAGTTTCTCTAGCCTTTACTTCTAGAGTCAGTAACAAAGTGTATCAACAGGAGTTTGCGAAAAGAGGGGGGGGAGGAGAGGTTGGGGCAAATTAATATACAGAGGGGCACACAGACACCTGATTAGGGAGCTAAAGCAACGACGACGGCGACGTCAATGAGAACGGCAAAAAAAGAGTTAAAGGTTTAGATCGGCAAAACAACAACTCTGCACGTGCATCACGTATATTTCTTTGCCGTCACTGCGCGACTACGACGTGAAAATGCCTAATTTCACATTTTGTGGAGAATGTGAACACAAGACAGCAACTTTCTCTCTCTTTTCCTGAACTTCAATACAGTATTTTAGAATTCAACTCCAGAAAAAACTGCCAACATTTGACGAACTGAAATAGATACAATAAGCGAGATAAGGTTTGAAGGCGTGAGCGCGACTTCACTTTTTAAGTGACGTTTTCGTAGCCGTCGCATCATTGTTGCCTGTTTAATAAGCTCCCTATTGACAGACGAACGGATGGACGAAGACCCAATCAGTTTGTGAAAGGTCGGTAACACTTAATAGCACATACACGGTAAAGTGACTAACCTGACGCCGCGCGAGCCGTGTGCTTATTTTACCACCCTCCTCCATCAGGCGCTTCTTTTTCAGCCGGGTATTAAAAGCTACTTTATGCTCCACGGAAAGGAAAGAAACCGAAAAAAGTATCGAATAGTTCACACCTGGAAATCGAACAGCCCAGTCTCCTGACTGACTGTGTTAATCCTTGGTCCTAGTCAGAAAGATAGATAGACAGATAGACAGACAGGCAGACGGGACAGGCTAGCCTGCAAAAACAGCCGTTTCTCTTCATTCCTCGCCGCTCAGGACGTTTTGCCAGGAGGAACGTCTCCGTCTCAGTGACATAAATTCCATACTGATGACGTAAATCAATGTTTACATAATTAATCTGGTAGATTTGGGGTTTAATATGCAAATTTGTTCGATTTTATATTTCCCCTGGTCGATTTTGGTAAAGTTTTGTGTTTATTTGCGAACGAGCTCCAGCAGAACTCAAATGTTTCTTCTAGAGAAGAATGTAATTAACAGACAGAGCAGCCATCCTATAGACACATATGTCCACCAGGAGGTCTATGACTTTACCCTTGAAGATCTTGAAGACATCATTTTATTCCTCGGACTTAACTACATATCCACAAAAAATTTTCCAGCTCTTTTTTTACAACAAAGCGCGACGGTCTGTTATTTCGAAGTGCGGGCCGAGGTATTCTAGTATAGACTGCGATCAAGTCCTCTTCCCTTCCGTTTCTTCTTTAACCCATTCATACCTAACCCACAATCAGGCTTTTTTGTGGAGAAAGGGGAAAAAGGTCGGCGTCCTTTTCCCTCGCTTCCAAAACAAAAAATGAAGAAGCATCGCCTGATCGCAGGTTAATTCACACCTCAACCACTCCACTCTTAGCAGCATTAGCATTGAACAACGCCCCTTAAAGACCGCACCAACAGACTCTTCGTTTTAAGATTTTGTACCGGATTTCCTTTTGGCTTCTTTTACCAGAGAGTAACAAGCCAAGGATTAATATTTTGGTGTTTGCCGATTGTGCAAAACTTTCCATGTTATGCCGTTGACTCCCTTACTAGAGAAGCTGCCGGCAGGCCACGCCCCTTGTAGCATAAACCCATTTGAAATGTTACAAGAGAACTTGAAGAATCAACTTGATACGGTTAAAAATGGCAGAGATACACGCCAAACTGGTCACGTAATTTTGACAGGGAATTTTTGAATGAAAATTTTATCGTAAAAGAAAGTACAAGGAATTTTTTGTTCTTGTTTTTGCAAAATCTCTGAAATGTGTAAGGGAAAGTAAGACACTAGGGTAAAAATTTTTCAGTAAAACAAACCAAGCAAATTTGAAAATGCAAATTATGACTTCTTACTGCCTACTATGCGTATTTGAAATGTTACAACTTGTAACATTTCTCGGAGAACTTGAAGAATCAACATGATTCGGTTAAAAAGGGCTTAGATACACGCCAAACTGGTCACGTAATTTTGACAGGGAATTTTTTGTTTTTGCAAAATCTCTGAAACGGTGTAAGGGCAAGTAAGGGTAAAAATTATCAGTGAGACAAACCAATCAAATTTTAAAATGATAATTGAAGTTTATTACAAAAATACATGTATTACATCATTACGCTTAGATTTTCACATTTATAGCATAATAGCCATCACACTACGATTAATACAGAGTATTTTTTAAATAGTTCTTAGTATACATCATTTGACAATGGCGGTAGTGGCTTATAATTTTCACACTAACTCGAAACATTTAGAATCTTTTGTCATGTATTAAATTGCCAGCATGTTCTAAGACCCTGTTTACATGGAGTGGGGGACCCCGGTCTAGTGGGGTAGGTTTCTCTTGTTTTGTGTCCCCCAGAGCGTAAAAAACAAAAGAAACCAACCCCACTAGACCAGGGTCCCCCAATCCATGTAAACAGGGTCTAACTTTCAGTCAAATGTTAAGGAGATGGCATGCACATGTACCACACAAGCGTCAGGCAAGAAGCGAAAACATCGGCTGAGAAGACTGATCTCACTCGATTCTCACGTCTCATGACTTGTAACTCGCCGCTTGTACCCAGCTGATTCTCTGGAGAAAATTAAACGATTGTTCGCACTCTATTGTTCTACATATTGGCACACATGATACAAGAAACTACAAATTAAAACAAATACACTGGTCCATTGTTTAATAAGTAGATGAAAAAATGATACACACTAAAACGCATCGGACAAGCTTTGTGCTCGTTTGAAAGTATCAAGTCTACCATTTAATATTACTAGAAAAGTAAGTAAAAAGCCTGAAACTGGACAACTTCTGACTGCGCAGCTTAGTACAAAGATGTGAACCACAGGCTGGTTTGGCTATTGAACAAGTTAAAATGTATTAAAAATGAAAACCCTCCAGTAAAATATATCTACCAGTTGAACACTCTTGCAGCCCGTTTCTCGAAAGACCTGGTAACTTTTTGGGTCCAAAAATTTTTTGTAATCTAAATCTGTTGAATTTATAGCAGCACAGTTCAGTCCGAGCTCACAAACCGGTCAATTTTGCTTTGTTAACTGATACTTTCATGATATCATCTTCAAAGTCATTGACACTTTGATCTTAAATGCAAATACAGCAAGCATAAAACAGCTTTTAAGGTCCGAAACATTCTCGGGACTTTCGAGAAACGGGCCACTGACCCGCAATTCCAAGTTTTTAGTTTTTACATTTTATTTTATTTTTATTAGATTCGCCAACTATTGGCAGGGTCACCGCAACAGCATGACGCCAATTACTGCGGGCCCGTAAAGTCCCTCCCCCCATGAGAGATAGATCACCACACCGGGGACTACGTCCCCTACTCTTTACGAAGTGTTACAGTGTGTAATAATATGAGTAAAGTCAACTAAGAGAAAACAGCAACAACAAGAGTTGTATCCTTCAGTAAACACCTGCCCGAAGAACCTGCATTTTCTGGCCCAAGGTAGCCTAAACAGGTTCTTAAATAAATGGTAAATAGCACAAATTGAGGCTGTTTAGGTTCTTAAATAGGATGTTATTTTCTTAAGAAAAAAAATATTGTAGCTACGAGTATTTAGTGGTTTTCACCTTGTTCCTTAAGTAATTTGTCCACCATACCTTTTATGACAATTGTAGTTTTAGTAATAAGGCATCTAATATCTTTCAAGAGGATCCTGAATGTTGACTTACCTTTTTTGCCCCAGTGTTCAGAATTTATGTTTATAGATTTTAATTAGCCAAAGAACGTTTTTTAAATTTTAGGCTTAACAAGTCGATCTTGTATAGAGGTGACCTAACTGTCAAATTTTAGCCCAACAGGTTCTTAGTCGCAGATTTTTACTGTATTATGCAAGAAAGATCAAGAGACCACGTAAAAACTGTTTTCATTCCGAAAACATGAGCGATATTGTAGATCAATAGGAAATCACACTTGAATTGCATTTCTAAGGATAAGATCATATCATATTTGGTCAAATATCTGGATTCGATGGTTATCCTCATCACTCACAACTATCCTCCCATCACTAAGATTTGCTGTAGAAACTGGATAATTAAACTCTCCTCTCTCGCTACCTTCACTTCCAAACTTTGTAACAAACTTTCCACTAAGTTCAAATAACTGAACTCTGTGATTGAATGAATCACAGACCATTAGCAATCCTTGTTTGTTAACTGACAAATAACGGGGCTTATTGAACTCTCCATCCTTTCCCCCCTGCTTTCCAAATTTAGAAATAAACTTTCCTTCGAGATCAAACATTTTAATAGAATCATCACCATAGTCTGAGACTATCAGATATTGACCCTGTTGGATACAGTGATAGGGACTGACCAAAGAACCTGCTCCACCAAATTTTCGTAAATACTCTCCAGTGGAAGAGAATATCTTGATTAATTTGTTAGTTCTATCAGCAACAATAATATCACCGTTGCCATTTATTGATAAACCTTCAGGATAAGTAAGCTGGTGATCAAGACTTCCATATTCACCAAACTTACGAAGAAACTTACCATTTCTATCAAAGACTTGAACCCTGTGGGTTTTACAGTCTGTCACTATAATATTACCAAGACTATCAAAAGCGATCCCTGAAGGTGCATTAAACTCACTATTATTCTCACCCTTCCTACCAAACGATCTTAAGTGGGTACCGTCGCTACTAAACAGTGAAACCCTGTTGTTCCAGAGTTCAGTGACAGCAATTTCATCACGATCATTCACTGCCACCCCCGAGGGCCCTTTAAGCATTCCAACAGACTCACCTTCTCGTCCAAATGATAACACAGGAATGTAACGCTTGGTTTGTACCTGAGCATCAAGAGAACTGTCACGAACATTTATCCCTTTAGTCCTAGCAATTACTTTACTACTTTCTTTACCTTTGGCTTCTGATTGTTGCAATTTAGTTGCGCTAAAAAGAGTTTTTACATTACCTATACCTTCACTGTTCAACACGTTAATCAGTTTTTCACTTTTAGTAAAACGAAACCGAGGAATACACTCTGTGTCACGGTTTTCTTGGGTGCCCTGTTCCTGTAGGATTATATCAAATGTTTCATTGAATCCAAGGATTTCTGTACTAAAGTTTCGTTTCACCAGAGATTCAGTTTGCTCAATTGCTGATTCAATCATTTTCACTTGTTTTTTAACTTCGCCTTTTTTCTGAGAGAGTGTTTCAAGTGATTTTTTCGCTTGATTATCCACCGCTTCATAAACCTCCTGTTTCCTCGCTTCGATGATTGCAATCATTTGGTCTACATTCGTCTGCACTTGGCTTTTTACGTCGGCTACTTGCGCTTGAACTTCCATGCTCTTTTGATTGAATTTTTTGACTTCCTTTCTCTTTTCCGCCATTTTATCTTTCAAGGAAGTAATCACGGAGTTGAGCTGTATCTTGCACGCATCTGCAGCTTCTTGCAACGGCATCTTACCATGACCTTCATGAAGCGTTACAGCGCAAGTGTTGCAAATGGCGACTTTACAGTCCTTGCAAAAGAACTTCAGTTCTTCTCTTTCATGATGTTTCTTCTGACAAATTGCTGGTCGCTTTAACACAGCCTCGAAGTCTTGATCCTGAAAATGCTTCAGTGCAAGAGTTTTGTGTTCTTTATTGGTGCGTATTATGTTATGTCCTAAAATACATTCCTCGCACCAGAAAGAACAACACTGGAAACAATACAAGGTCTGGGCGCTCCGCTTGTCGCAATTTCCGCATTTCACGTTAGCTGTGCTGCACTCTTTAATTGCCAAGACATCTAGCAAACTGTTGATACGAACATTGGTGGGAAGTTCGCTGGGATTTCCGTTTCCAGGTATTTGAAACTGTCTTTTACACTCGGGGCATGTAATTTTGCCATGGAGGCCGCTCTTTCGTTGAATTCCGTTCAGGCAGTGAAGACAGAAACTGTGCAAACAAGGCAACTGCTTTGGATCAGTGAATGTACACATACACACAGAACAGGATACTTCATCATGACGATTGTGCAGCAAGGTCTGTATATCCATGGAAAAGGTCGGGAGTGTGTTTAAAATATTCTATAAAGCTTCTTGTTGGCCATGCGGTGTAATGCCTTCCAATTAAACAGAATCTCTTGCATTGTTTGACGTTTTGACGTAATATCCTGGTTTTCTTAGAACTGTTGTTCTGCTCTACAAAGCATGAACTATTGTCTGTCACAATTTTTTTCGGCAGCTAAATAATAAGACTGCATCACTTTAAAGCAGTCAAAAATCCGCACGCGACATTCATTCTGAAGTATAAAACAGGTAACGAGGCCAGGTTATCCTTTCTAGATGTGAAGCCTCTCCTTCGTTCAATGTCTCCACATGTATTTAAAAAATTATCACTTTGTTAGGACCTGCCATTCCACTGTACCAGTACATTCACGCATGTCAGTAGCTTTTTGGCTGGAGGGATGACAAGGGCGCGCACGAAGAGGGAGCAGGAAAATCATTTTCATTCTATTCTCACTGTCACGCCATCGAAAATAAAAATGAAAACCATTCAATACAGAAAGTCTAGAATCTAGGAAATGAAAGAAGATAAATATTCAAAAAACCTCGCCAAGAATCAGATCTGTGCTATATTTCATATGCGAGATATTCGGAAAAACGTTTTACCCAAATTAATAAAGCATTGTATGGAGATGCTATGTTGACGTTCATTTCAATCAAAAAATTGATTGCTATTGAAAATGAAATAAAATGTCCCTTTGAGGCGCACCAATATGGCCGCCGGAAACCAACACAAACATCTGTTTTTTTAATTTTCCTACTTATGCGTGAATTCATCGTTTGAGGAACTCATAAATATTAAAGTAATATTTATTCTGAGACAAGGAATGTTTAGATAGTGAACTTTCTTAAACTAGGAAACGTTTTTAACCCATATAGGAGCTTTCTGTCGGGCGGGAGGGGGGGGAAGGGGTACTTTAGGAATTCCGGGGTGTGGATGTGCCGCTGAAACCCTGGAACCCTTAACCAATACCAGAGCTAGTTCAGCTGAATTTTGTAATATTCATTTCCAGTCAGTTGTTTTAGCTCTCACCTCTAGAGTCAGTAACAAAGTGTATCGAGAGGAGTTTGCGAAAAGGGGAGGGGGGAGGAGGGTGGAGGGTGGGGCAAATTGATATACAGAGGGGCACACAGAAAACAGGATTAGGGAGCTAAAGCAACGACGACGGCGACGTCAACGAGAACGGCAAAAAAGAGTTAAAGGTTTAGATCGGCAAAACAACAACTCTGCACGTACATCGCGTACATTTCTTTGCCGTCACTGCACGACTACGACGTGAAAATGCCTAATTTCACATTTTGTTGAGAATGTGAACACAAGACAACGAGTTTGGTTTCTTTTCCTGAAATAGAATTAAACTCCAGAAAAAACTGCCAACATTTGACGAACTGAAAGAGATAGAATAAGCGCCATAAGGTTTGAAGCAGCGCGACTTCACTTTTTAAGTGACGTTTTCGTACCTGTCACGTTGATGTTGCTTAACCTCCCTACTGACGGAAGAACGGATGGATAAAGACCCAATCAGTTTGTGAAAGGCTGGTAACACTTAATAGCACATACGCAAACGACTGACTAACCTGAGGCTACGCGAGCCGTGCGCTGATTTTACCACCCTCCTCCATGAGGTGCTTCTTTTCAGACGGGTAGTAAAAGCTACTTTAACTCCACGGAAAGGAAAGAAGCCGACAAAAGTATCGAGTAGGTCACACCTGGCAATCGAACAGCCCGGGCTCCTGACCAACTGCGTTAATCCTTGGTCCTAGTCAGACAGATAGATAGGCAGATAGACAGACAGGCAGACGGGACAGGCTGACAGGCTAGCCTGCGAAAACAGCCCTTTCCCTTCGTTCCTCGCTGCTCAGGACGTTTTGCCAGGAGGAACGTCTCCGTCTCAGTGACATAAACTCCTTACTGATGACGTAATTATAAATCAATGTTCACATATTTAATCTGGTAGACTTGGGGTTTAGAATGCAAATTTGTTCGATTTTATGTTTCTCCTGGTCGATTTTGGTAAAGTTTTGTGTGTATTTGCGAACGAGCTCCGGCAGAACTCAAATGCTTGTTCTAGAGAAGAATATATTCTTTTAGTAAAATTCAACAAGTGGTCTATTATCAATGCTGCATTCTGATTGGTTGAGCTACTACTAGGCTATATGTTATAGCCCACTAATGGCGAAAAGCGCCGGCTTGTTCGCAGCAAAAAAGGATTAAAGTCTAGCTTTAACTAGCTAGAATTTATTCTTTATATTTTTGACCAACTAGTTGGATTTTACTAAAACAATTATTTCTCTCGCCGTCATGGCCTCTGAGTCAATAGCCTATTCGGGCTCGAGGAATAATTGTTAAATATTCAAATGGCTATTTATTTATTCAAATTAACAGACAGAGCATCCATCCTAAAGACACATATGTCCACAAGGAGGCAGATGACTTTACCCTTGAAGATCTGGAAGACATCATTTTATTCCTCGGACTTAACTACATATCCACAAAAAATAATCCAGCTTTTTTAATAACAAAGCTCGACGGTCTGTTATTTCGAAGTGCGGGCCGAGGTATTCTGGTATAGACTGCGATGAAGTCCTCTTTCCTTCGTTTCTTCTTAAACCCATTCACACCTAATCAGGCTTTTTTTCGGGGAAAGGGGAAAAAAGAACGGCGTCCTTTTCCCCTCGCCTCTAAAACAAAAAAGGAAGAAGCACCGCCTGATCGCAGGTTAAGTCACACTTCACCCACTCCACCCTTAGTAGCATCAGCATTGACCAACGCCCCTTAATGCCCGCGCAAGCAGACTCATCGTTTTAAGATTTTGTAACGGATTTCCCTTTGGCTTTTTAACCGGGGATTAACACCCTAACGATTAATATTTTGGTCTTTGCCGATTGTCAAAACTCTCGAAGTTATACCGTTGAGTCCCTTAGCAGAGAAGCTGCTGGCAGGCCACGCCCCGCGTAGCATTAACTCATTTGAAATGTTAAAAGAGAACTCAGACTGAAGAGAACTTAAAGAATCGACGTGATTCGGTTAAAAAGGGCTTGGATACACGCCGAACTGGTCACGTAATTTTACACTGGGAATTTTTGAATGAAAATTTTATCGCTCTATCTAGCCGTGTACTTTCTTTTTTAAGAAAGTACAACGAATTTTTTGTTTTAGTTTTTCCAAAATCTCTGAAATTTGTAAGGGTAAGTTATAATGAACACTAGGGTAAAAATGTATCAGGAGATAAACCAAGCAAATTTTAAAATGCGAATTGAAGTTTATTACAAATTGACATGTATTACATCATTACGCTTAGATTTTCACATTTATAGCATAATAGCCATCACACTACGATTAATACAAGGTTTTTTTTAATGGTTCTTATATCATTTGACAATTGCTGTGGTGACTTATAATTTTCACATTAACTCGAAACATTAAGAATCTACACTTTTTCAAAATCCTTTGTCGTGTATTAAATTGCCAGCAGTTTATTAGTTTTCTTCAAAAGCTAAGGAGATGGCACAAGCAGCACACGAGCGTTAGGGAAGAAGCGAAAACATCGGCCTAGAAGACTGATTTCACTCGATTCTCGCGTCTCAAGACTTGCAACTCGTCGCTTGTATCCTACTGATTCTCTAAAGAAAATTAAGCGATTGTTCGTACATATTGGCACACATTATACAAGAAACTACAAAAACAAATACACTGGTCCATTGTTTAATAAGAAGATGAAAAAATGATACACACTAAAGCGCCTTTCGGAGAAACTTTGGGCTCTTTTTGAGAGTGTCAAGTCTACCATTTAATTAATAGTACTAGAAAAGTGTACTAAGTAAAAAAGCCTGACTACTTCTGTCTGAGCAGTTTGCTATTTGAACAAGTTAAAATGCATTTACAATGAAAACCCTCCTGTAAAATATATCTACCAATTGAACACTCTTGAGGCCCGTTTCTCGAACGGCCCGGTAACTTTTGGGTCCGAAAACAATTTGAAATCAAAACCTGTTGAATTTATAGCAGCACAGTTCAGTCCGAGCTCACAAACTGGTCAATTTTACTTTGTTAACTGATACTTTCATTGTATCATCTTCAAAGTTACTGACATAAAACAGCTTTTAAGGCCCGAAACATTCTCGGGACTTTCGAGAAACGGTGCGCCACTGCCCCCCAATTTCAAGTTAAGTTTTTACGTCAGCTAATGGAAAACAGCAACAACAAGAGATTCTCCTACAGTAAACACCTACCCGAAGAACCTGCATTTTCTGGCCCAACAACAGGTTGTTACACAAATGGTAATTAGCACAAATTTAGGCTATTTGGGTTCTTAAATAGGATGTTATTTTCTGAAGAAAAACTAAAAATATATCATAGCTGAAAAGTAGTGTTTCCTTAAGAAACTAAACTACGTCCAAAATGTTTTTCTTCCGAACACATGAGTAATTGTAGATCGATTAGTAGTATATCACAATTTTAAGTAGCTGCATTTCTAAGGATAAAATCATATCATATTTGGTCAAATATCTGGATTCGATGGTTATCCTTATCACTCACAACTATCCTCCCATCACTAAGACTTGCTGTAGAAACTGGATACTTTAACGCTCCCCTCTCGCTACCTTCACTTCTAAACTTTGTAACAAACTTTCCACTCAGTTCAAATACCTGAACTCTGTGATTGTATGAATCACAGACCATTAGCAATCCTTCTTTGTCAACTGACAAATAACGGGGTCTATTGAACTGTCCATCCCTCTCCCCACGTTTTCCAAATTTAGAAATAAACTTTCCTTCAAGATCAAACATTTTAACGGAATCGTCACCATAGTCTGAGACTATAAAATATTGACCGTGTTGGATACAGTGATAGGGTTCGACCAAAGAAGCTGCTCCACCAAATTTACATAAATACTCCCCACTAGAAGAGTATATCTTGATTAATTGGTTATGGAGATCAGTAACAATAATATCACAGTTACCGTTTATTGATAAACCTGCAGGGTTTAAAAGCTGGTGATCAAGACTTCCACACTCACCAAACCTATGGAGAAACTTTCCATTTCTATCAAAGACTTGCACCCTGTGGTTTTTACAGTCTGTCACTACAATGTTACCAAGACTGTCAAAAGCGATCCCTGAAGGTTGATTAAACTCACCATCATTCTGACCCTCGCTACCAAACGATCTTAAGTGGGTACCGTCACTACTAAACACTGAAACCCTGTGGTTGAGGAGTTCAGCCACAGCAATTTCATCATGGTCATTCACTGCCACCCCCCAGGGCGCTTTAAGCATTCCAACACACTTACCTTCTAGTCCAAATGATAGCACAGGAATGTAACGCTTGGTCTGTACCTGAGCCTCAAGAGGACTGTCACGAACATTTGGCCTTTTATTCCCAGCAATTGCCTCACTGCTTGCCGTGCGTTTAACCCCTGATTTTTGCGCTTTAGATTCGTTAAAAACAATTTTTACACTACCTATACCTTCACTGTTCAACACGTTAATCAGTTTTTCACTTTTAGTGAAACTAAACCTAGGAATAAATTCAGTGTCACGGTTTCCTTGGCTTCCCTGTTCCTGTAGGATTTTATCAAATGTTTCATTGAATCCAAGAATTTCTGTACTAAAGTTTCGTTTCATCAGAGATTCAGTTCGTGCAATTGCTGATTCAATTATTTTCTTTGATTTTCAACTTCGCCTTTTTTCTGTGAAAGTGATTGAAGTGATTTTTTCGCTTGATATTCGACCGCGTTAAAAACATCCTGTTTCCTCGCTTCAATGATTGCAATCATTTGGTCTACATTCGTTTGCACTTGGCTTTTTACGTCTGCTACTTGCGCTTGAACTTCCATGCTCTTTTGGTTGAGTTGTTCGACTTCCTTTCTCTTTTCCACCATTTTATCTTTCAAGGAAGAAATCATACGGGGGGTGACAACTCTAACAAAGGCTGTTTGGGCAGTCCTACGAATAACTTTATGTCCTCCCGGAAATTTCGTCGACCCTCCCGAATTTTTCGGTGGCATTCCCCATAAATGTTTAACTTCCCAAAATTGTTTTAACAATTAAAATTAAAATTTTGATTAGCAGTTTCTTGTTAATTATGTAACTTGTTAATTATCTAAACGTAGTTATTTTTCGTTAGAGGGTATCATGTTAACACAGAAAGGCTGTCAAACTTTTTAAGTATATAAAATCGTGTTTTTTTGTTTTTTAATCACCGATGAATCAGGCGAGCAGTGAAGGGGGCAATCCCTCTAGGGGGGTCTGGGGGCATGCTCCCCCAGAAAATTTTGAAATCTTGGTCCCTCTGAAACGCCATTCTAGTGTTCTGAGAGGACAAATTCTGTCCAAAATGTTCTCGAAGTCAATTGTCCTTTCATTTGAAAATTTCAGAACAACTGTCGAAATCTGAAATTTTCCTATCCCGAACGCATATTGATCGGGATTCGGGATTTTCGAGCAAAATCGGAAGGACCCCGACGAGATCAGGATGATTAAAGAGTCTTCACAGACATACAACTTTTTATGGCCTCATTTGTGTTTAACAAGGTTAAATGAGTTTCGTTTTTTTCTTACATACTCCTTACGTACTTCTTTCAAGTTTTCCAGTATGCAATCAGTGGAATGTGCTCTTAAAACTCGTTAACGTGCAGCGTAAAAATACCCCTGAACTACTGAATGATGGGATCTGGTGTGAACTGATAGTATGTGCCTTGCACCGGTACGGTTATTGTGTCAATCCGCTGGGGATTGCACGAGGTCAATCCCACTCGAACTTCATGCTATTTTAGTTGGAAACGTTGCTGATTGGTCTTTTCATATCATGGGGAGTTCAGCCGTTTTCAAGCGCATACACTGGGTGCATATCACTGTACATATATTGTTTGATAACATGTAATATCAAATCTTTGCTCAATGTCCCGAAAATATCTCATATTTCCCGCAAAATTTCCCAGGTTTCCCGATTCCCGGCAAAATCTCCAGATTCCCGGAATGTATTTGTTTCTCTCCCGAAACAGCCCTTGTTAGAGCTGTCACCCCCCGTAAATCATGGAGTTGATCTGTATCTTGCACGCATCTGCAGCTTCTTGCAAGGGCATCTTACCATGACCTTCATGAAGCGTTACAGCGCAAGTGTTGCAAATGGCGACTTTACAGCCCCTGCAAAAGAACTTCAGTTCTTCTTTTTCATGATGTTTCTTCTGACAAATTGCTGGTCGCTTTAACACAGCCTCGAAGTCTTGATCTTGAAAATCCTTCAGTAGCAGCGTTTTGTGTTCTTTATTAGTGCGTATTATGTTATGTCCTAAAATACATTGCTTGCACCAGAAAGAACAACACTGGAAGCAATATAATGTCTGGGCACTCCGCTTGTCGCAATTTCCGCATTTCACGTTAGCTGTACTGCACTCTTTAATTGACGAGACATCTAGCAAAATGTTGATACGAACATTGGTGGGAAGTTCGCTGGGATTTCCACTTCCAGGGATCTCAAACTGTCTTTTACACTCGGGGCATGTAATTTTGCCATGGAGGCCGCTCTTTCGTTGAATTCCTTTGAGGCAGTGAAGACAGAAACTGTGCAAACAAGGCAACTGCTTTGGATCAGTGAATGTACACATACACACAGAACAGGATACTTCATCATGAAGATTGTCCAGCAAGGTCTTTATATCCATGGAAATGTTCGGAAGTGAGTTTGAAATACTCTATAAAGCTTGTTGTTGGAGATATTATCCAACCTACATAATCATGCATAATGCCTTCTGACACCTTAATTAAACAGAATCTCTTGCATTGTTTGACATTTTGACGTAATATCCTGTTTTTCTTAGAACTGTTCATTCTCGTTCCCAGACCTTCGATCCTTTTGTTCAGCGTCAGGGATCGATCCCGGACACTGACCATCAAAAATAAAAATGCAAACTATTCAATACAGGAAGTCCAGAATCTAGGAAATGAAAGAAGATAAATATACAAAAATCCTCGCCAAGAATCAGGTCTGTGCGTTATTTCAGGTGCGAGATATTCGGAAAAGGTTTTACGCAAATTTGTAAAGCTTTGTATGGAGACGCCATGTTGGTGTCCCTTTGAGTGACACAAATATGGCGGCCGGAAGCCAAAACAAACATCTGTTTATGAGTTGTGCTACTAATGCGTGAATTTATCGCTTGAGGAACTCATAAAGATGAATTTAATATTTGTCTTGAGACAAGGAACAGCTAGGAACGTAGCAAAATCTCCAAAAATAGGCAACGTTAACCCACATAAGTCATGTTTTTGCGCGAAAGCTCACCTGGTATTTGATTGATGTTTAAATAATAAGGACCAGTATTTCACGGCCTCGGGCATTTGATATTTAAGGACTATTTTAAAGGCTTAGTCGGAATCATCAATTGGTTCTAGTGGATGAATCAGTACCTGTGGCTTGGTAGGCGTTGGCGGAGGGAAAAAAGTAAAATTATACATCTGCAGTCAGTTGCTCTAGCCTTTACTTCTAGAGTCAGTAACAAAAGGTATCAACAGGAGTTTGCGAAAAGAGGGGGGTGGGGGTAGGAGAGGTTGGGGCAAATTAATATACAGAGGGCACACAGACACCTGATTAGGGAGCTAAAGCAACGACGACGGCGACGTCAATGAGAACGGCAAAAAAGAGTTAAAGGTTTAGATCGGCAAATTAACAACTCTGCACATGCATCACGTTATTTCTTTGCCGTCACTGCGCGACTACGACGTGAAAATATCTAATTTCACATTTTGTGGAGAATGTGAACACAAGACAGCAACTTTCTCTCTCTTTTCCTGAACTTCAATACAGTCTTCAGAAAAAACTGCCAACATTTGACGAACTGAAATAGATACTATAAGCGCGATAAGGTTGGAAGCAGCGCGACTTCACTTTTTAAGTGACGTTTTTGTAGCCGTCGCCTCGTTGTTGCTTGTTTTAATAAGCTCCCTATTGACGAACGAACGGATGGATGAAGACCCAATCAGTTTCTGAAAGGTCGGCAACTCGTAATAGCACATAAACAATAAACTGACTGACTTGAGGCCGCGCAAGCCGTGCGCTGATTTTACCACCCTCCTCCATCAGGTACTTCTTTTTCACATGGCTAGTAAAAGCTACTTTATGCTCCACGGAAAGGAAAGAAGCCGAAAAAAGTATCGAGTAGGTCCACCTGGGAATCGAACAGCCCGGGCTCCTGATCGACTGTGTCAATCCTTGGTCCTGGTCAGAGAGATAGATAGGCAGATAGACAGACAGGCAGACAGGACAGGCTAACCTGCGAAAACAACCGTTTCTCCCCGTTCCTCTCCGCTCAGGAAGTTTTGCCAGGAGGAACGTCTCCGTCTCAGTGACATAAACTCCATACTGATGACGTAATTATAAAT